ACCCGGGAGAAGAGGGAGTTTTCAGGGAGAAGAGATCGCGCGGCGCGTGTTGCACAACCTGACTGGCGGGAGGTGGGAGGGACACCTCCGCTGCGCCCCAAGGTTTGGGCAAGGAGACCCAGGTTCTGGGCGGAGCGCGAGAGACCGGGCGGAGCTGGTTAGAAAGGGGAGGGGGGTCGGGACTGGGCTGGCCCCCCGTGCGCCCTGCAGAACCCCTGCTATGCCCGGGCGGCCGCTCCTGTAGCCCGGGATGATGGTCAGACCTCAAGGCTTCCTCTCCAGAGGAGCCTGGCAAGCCCGCAGCAGCCGGATCAGAAGTGGAGGCCCCTGTGGGTATCAGCCCACTCCCCCGAGGGGAAGGGGAACCTGCGGACGGAAAAGGTTCGCTCAAGCCAAGGTGGCCTGCAGGGCCTCTGCCTCCGGTGAGACGCGGCCTGTAACCTGCAAGAGACAGCTGCTCAGAGGGAGACTGAGGGCTGCCGGCAGACTCGGGGCAACTTGCTGCCACCTCCCCAGAAGGGGAGAATGAATATGGCAGATGATTAAGACACCGCCCCTCCAGCGCCCGCCATCACCACCACCACCACTCGGGCCTTGGGATTGCACGAGTCTGGAGTATCCGAGCTGTGCCCACAGGAAGTGACACACCCACTCTTGGGGTAGGGGCCCTGATGTAGGGGACCAATTTAAGGGGAGGGAAAGAAACAGCAAAACACAGTGCCCGCCCCCACAGCTTCTTTCCTCTAAGTTACCTTACCCTCTTTCCTCCACTTTCTTTCTGGTTTCCTCAGCCCCCTTCCTGCTCATTGTCTGAGTCAAAGGATGGGGAACAGCTCTAAAGATATTTATCCTTATTTAATTTTTGTAGAGAATTTACCAAAAGAGGGTGGACAGTTTCGCAGAGGGGAAAAATGTCCTTGTGACTCCCACTATTGGGCAACGCAGGGGATATGCTCAGCAGATCCTTCCCGCAGACTTGATATAGAATTATACTACCCTGGGAGATTCCAAGTTCATAATTTGATGGCCATTTGTCAGGTGCCTGCAAAGTACAAGGTACTGTTGCTGGGAATTGAAACTATAAAGAAACCCTGAAGCCTAAGGAACTTAAATCATCAAGGAGGGAAAAGGCTTGAAGGAGGTAACTGTGATACAAGGTGTCCTGAAGCAAGTGCTTTTTTACAGCTAGTTAGTATACAGAATTCCAGGAAAAGAAAAATTATTTCCAGATGGGGTGTTCTTTGTGGCAGAGAAGACAGTGTGGTAGCCCTGAGGGGTAGTAGGAGCCTCCTGGACAGAGTTGTTGAGCATTCCATGTGGCAGAAAGAGGCTGTGCCACAACCCTTGGGTTGGCAGAATAAGGTGTGTGCCTGGAAGGAGAAAAGCTAAGGAGGGACTCCCTCATGGCCAGCATGAGAGCTGGGCTAACTGCCTTTGACTTCAATTGCTCAGTGGGAAGCTACTGAAAGTCTGGAGCATAGGCACAGCATGATTCCAGAGAGGGCTAGAAAGGGATGCTATTATTGGCAACGTTTGTCTGCTATCTCCATACTCTTCCTTCTCCCACTTGCCTCTGCATACACCTCGTCCACAGACATGCACCTCCATGACAAACAGCTCCCCTGCATCATTGACTAGGCCCTTTAAAAAGAAACTAGCCCTCTCCAGGTGGCTAGAGCATCATCCTGTACACCAAAGGTTTGGGGTTCAATTCTGGTCAGAGCACATACCCAGGTTGTAGGTTCGATCCCCTATCGGGGCACATATGGGAGACAACCGATCGATGTTTCTCATATCTATGTTTCTCTCCCTTCCTCTCTCTCTAAAAATCAATAAAACATATCCTTGGTGAGAATGGAAGGAAGGAAGGAGGGAGGAAGGGAGGAAGGGAGGGAGGGAGGAAGGGAGGAAGGGAGGAAGGGAGGAGGAAAAATAGAAAAAGAAACTACACCCCTCAGAGCTCTCCTCCCTCTCTCTCTCTCTCTCTCTCTCTCCTGGTGTTTTTGAGGATGCAGCACCCTATAGTGAGGAGAGTTAAAGCCACAAACTTGATCTCAGAGGACCATTCGGACTTCATTACTTGGTTTCTGCAACCTTAGGCATTTTAGGCTGCCTGTGCCTGGCTTTCCTCATTTCTACAATGGAAGGGCTGTCTAGGTGAGCCATCTCAAAGTGGGCCCATACCACTTTACAGAATATAACTGTCTATCCAAAGCCCGGTTTGATTTGGCTCTCAGTGGCTCTCTCATAGACAGAGAGGAGCCTGTTCTATTCCTAGCCCAGTGCTGCAACACAGGATGTGGGAGCTTGATAAATATCTGTGGAATAAAAGAATACAGAAATGAGTAAATGATGAGTGAATGGTTAACTCTGCTTGAACAGCAATGATAAACTGTGACCAGGCATAGCACTCTTTCTTGCTGCCTGGATTGGTAACTCAAAACCCAGATGACATTGAGTTCGCGCAGAAGTCAGTACTGGAGAAACCATAAGTAATTGCAGTTCCCTGGGTAGGCTTTATCCAAGGTTTCCTTTGGCTACCAGCCTAGAGGAAAGCCCACAAAAACAGTGACTATTAGGATACAACTTTTCAGACAGAATGTGTATAGCATTTTAGGTTATTTTTTGGCCTGAGCACTTGCGGTTTTGACTTGTGGTAGAACAACTGTTTGGTTTAACCCTTATCTTCTGATTTCCAGAAGCTGCTTTGAGCTGCGCCACTCTTCCAAGGTGTGTTCTGTGGATTCTCTTGTGCATTGTAGGCATTTGGGCAGTCAGGGCTGGGGTCACTGCTGGCAATAGACCCAGCAAAGTTAACAGTTTCCTTGACCATCATGCTCAATGTCTCACTTTCCCTCTCAGGCTCGCCTTTCACCTAGAGACTGACATCAAAGAGCAAGAAGAGGTTGTGGCGAGAGGCTGAGAGGCGAGAGGTTATGCAGTGCAGGGGGAGAAAACTTTTGGCTGAGAGAGAGACCTGGGCTCCCCTCACCAGCTCTGCAGTCCTTGTCTGTCACTCCACTGCTATGAGCAGGTGTCTTCTCTATAAAAAGAGATGACCCTCACCTAACAGGGTTATCTGGAGAGCGAATAACTTGCTAGATATGTGAAAGGGCCAGACAGCTTGGGCTATGGTGTGGGAAGGTGCAAGGGTACTGATGTACTACAGCTTTGTTCAGGCACTATACAGGGGCAGTGTTAGCATGTATAACTTCATTCAGAGCTCACAGTAACCTGCCGGGCCGATGATCATGTGTTAGAGAGGCTAGGTAAGGGGCCCAGGATCACACTGCTGACCCTGGTGAGTGTGAACTGAGAATCAGAGCTCTGCCTGGGACTTCAGAGCTTACTTCTCTTTACTGCACACTTGGTAGTGGCCTTTGAATGCACAGGGTGTATACAGTCTTTTATTTAATAACTTTCTTTTAATCTTCACCACTATGGATAGACAATGTTAGTCCACCATTTCTTATTGAGAGGCAGTATAGCAGTGATTAGGAGAATGGGTTCTGGAGCAAAGCTGAGTGTTAGCCCTGTGGGACCTTGAGCCACTTAGCTCACCTGCCTGTGCCTTAGTTTTTTCATCAGTAAAAATGAGATAATGGTACTTACCTCAGAGGGTTGTTGTAAAGACTAAATGAGATATGTGTATAAAGTGCTTAGCATGATGCCTGGTGCAAAAGAAGAACTTAATAAATATTACCTGCTACTGTCATCATCATCATCATGAACATTCTCCCCCTTGGATTTCTGCAGGAGGCCTTAACATAATGCCATTCACTGGCAGGTAGCTTGTAAATAATATTCTGATCCTACTATTTTTTTTAAATGGGCTTTTGAAATAAAGAAATTAGGAATGATTTATTAGAAGGGAATAAAACAAGATCTTAGTAGTACCCAAAGACCCTGAATGTATTTTTTACATTATTAAAAATATTATGTTAATATAAATTCTATATAGAAATTAAATTATAAGGAAAAAATATCTGCTATACTTTCCCCTTAAAGTCATGTTTTCATTTGTTTATCTCATTTTTCTTTTTTTAGTATTTTATTGACTTTAGAGAGAGAGGAAGGGAGAAGAGAGACAGAAACATTAATCGACTGCCTCCTGTACACCCCCTACTAGGGATTGAGCCCACAACCTGGGCATGTGCCCTGACCAGGAATCCAACTGGTGAACTTTCGGTGCATGGGACATCGCTCAACCAACTGAGCCATGCCAGCTGGGCTGTTTATCTCACTTTTTAATTCTTTCATTTATTTGGAGTAACATCATAGATAAAACTCTGTTTTTTAATTAATTTTTAATCAAGGTGGTCCTTTTAAAATAGTACAAAGATGTTTAAAACAAAAAAGAGCTGATCCTTGTCCCACCCTTCACCCCTTCC